TAATTTTATTTTAAGGGAGATAAGTTTTGATCCTATTGAAGTTGATTTAGGGGAATATATCCAAACCAATGCAGCAATTGAGGAGGATTTAATAAGTACCATTGATCCTATTGATATTTGCAGTAATTTGATAATGGAATTAGCAAATCAAATGTTTAATGAATGGTAAGCATCTAGGCAAAATGAGGATTGACATTTGTTAGGCATATTGTTAATTAAAGGACTGTTTTATTGCTTCTTTCCTTTATATGTACAAGTTATGTTTTTTTCTAATTTTTTATTACTGTCTTAATGTTTTGTCATTTGTTGTTGTTAATTATTGTTTATGTTGTATTTTTTATCATGTGAATAAACTTTGACAAGGTTTAATATAATAGCGTATATATCTCTTTATCCTTTTTTTTAGATTTATAATTTTTTTATAATAAAATATTTAGTGTATGGTAGAAAACAATGTATGCATCTTCAGCCCTATCTTCTCAAAGTTCAAACAAAACCAAAAGAAAATGGAATTATCATGAAGATGTTGTACTCATTTCAGCTTTGATTGATTTGCACAATATAGGAAAATACAATGTTGACACTAGTTTTAAATAGGGTTATTTAATAGAACTTGAAAATATGCTTGCAACAAAATTACCAAATGCAAACATGAAGGCGAAACCCCATATAAAGTCTAGAATAAAGACTTTGAAAACAGAATGGGCTATTATATATGATATGGTGCAAAGGACACATACCAATGAATTTGGGTGGGATGATCAAAGGAACATGACAGTTACTGATGATCCTGTATGGGAATCTTACATACAGGTAAGATTTTGATTTGAACTTATTTAAGTATTTTCATTTTAGTTTCTCAATAATAATATAACTAATAGTCTTCTGTTTTTCATTTTTATTAGAGTCACAAGGAGGTTACCTCTTTTAGAACAAAGAGTTTTCCTTTTTTCAATGAGCTTAGTTTTATTTATGCAAGAGATTGTGCAATAGGAAAATATTCTCAAATTGCAGCAGATATCCTCAAAGAAATATAGGAATGTAATGATACAATAAATGAGGAAACTGAAAGTGAAAACCTAGTTGGATATAGTTTTGACCATGAGGATTTCTGTCAGTTAAAATTTTACTATGCAAGTATACGTATAAAATAGATAGTATATTAGCAAGTAGAGTATTGATCCCATAGGAAATTGATCTAAAAGTTTACTAATTACTAAAATTATAAGAAATTAATCTTATCCAAACAATCAATATCAAATAACCAAATTAATTAACTAAAAATACTTAATCAAAATTTAAACTAGAAAAATCAAAATAATAAATACTCAAGTAAATATCAAATCCAACAAGCCTAGGATTATAATATCCCTCACACTCCATCTAAATCGTACCTCTCTTCCTTAACTTATTTCAATGGGTTGAATTGTTAACCTAGGGTCTTAATTTATTTATAAGGGTCTCTCGAGTCATCTTATAAAAATATTTATTTTAACCAAAACACTATATCCCTATGTGAATTGAAATTAAAATAGACTCATTAAGTTCAAGCTCTAATCAGGCTACACATGGCCTATAAGTATATCTCTATCCTATAAGCAAATCAATTAATTTGATCATATGCTATCTCAATTTTAGTCTACACTAAACTACCTTTTCCAAGTTTGTTTAGGTTCCTAAATCAATTTAATTGGTGGCCAAGCAATTAAAAGCATTAAGAATAAATTAGAATAAACAATTCAAATCTCATTAAAGATAAGCAAAAAAGATATTAAAATTTTAGATTACATGCGAGTTCAATTGTAATCCTAGAAAAAGAAAATTAGCCACTCACGATTGAAAAAACAAATAACATTATAATAAATTCAACCATTGAGAGTCATAAGAAAATAAAAGCCAAGGAAGAAAACAAAACAATAATTACCGGCTTGATCTCCAAGTTTCAATCTCAACTTCTAGCTTTTTGAATCTTCAAAAGTTATCTCTCCCCATGTTCTAAAGACAATATCCTATATATACTAATAGACTTAACCTATAGTTCTCTAAATAAACCTATGGTTTAATTGCGCTTAAAAGTGAATTGAAAGGCCCAAAAAATATCAATTGTCAATCTTTACAAATTTCCATTCTCGACACAGTACATCCAACCATTTTTTGATGTGATTTTCTCTATCTTCAAAGCATATCTAGATAAAGTATTCTTCAAAGTTGTAGCTGTATTTCATAGCTTTCCAATGGTCTAAGAATCGCATCATTTGGAGTTCTGTAGCACGAGATATAGCCAAAATACTAAAGTATATACGAGCAGACTTTTGGATCTTCCAACACCTTAGTTTCCAAAATTAAGCCCAATCTTTCTTTACTCCTACGAAAAATATAAAAATTAATAAATAATAATCAAATTAAAAGAAATAACGTAAAATTAAAATAACTCACTTAAAAATAAACTAACTATAAAACAATTAAAAATAAGTAAATTATAATTGAAAATTGAGGACTTAG